GAGAGAGAGAGAGAGAGAGAGAGAGAGAGAGAGAGAGAGTGAGAGAGAGAGGTAGAGCGCGCGCGCTTACGTGACCACTCTGCTGCATACAGCACACCTCTCTGCTCTCTACAGTCGCACGGCGGTCTGTTCTCGCTCCTGGACGACGAATGCCTGCGACCCGGTGACGCCAGCGACGACACGTTCCTCGACACGATCGCGGCGACGTTCGGCGGCCACCCGAACGTCGACACGCGCCGCGCGACGCGCTGCCTCAACGACAAGTCGCTGCCGCGCGACTGCTTCCGTATCCGCCACTACGCCGGCCCGGTACGTATGCGGGAGGGGGTCAGAGAGAGGTCATGCGGGGGTCAGGGAGGGGAGTCAGGGAAGGGTCAGAGAGAGGTCAGGCAGAGATCATGCGGCGGTCAAGCAGGGGTCAAGGAGGGATTACATAGGGATCTGGAGGAGTCATACAGGGGTCAGGGAGTGGTCACGCTGAAGTCAGGGAAGGTAGATCTGAGCTGTCAGCAGATATAATCCCACAAGCGCCATCTACCCGCAGACGCGTAACCCTACCAGCCCCACCTGGCGGCACAGACGGACGAACTAGCGCTGCGTGTTTTCCAGGTGACGTACAACGTGACTGGATTCCTGGACCGGAACAACGACCTGCTGTACCGGGATCTATCCCAGGCGATGTACTCGTGCGGGTTATCCCTGCTCAAGCTGCTCTTCCCGGAGGGAAACCCCTCACGCGCGTGCCTTAAACGTCCCTCCACGGCTGGCTTCCAGCTAAAGGTGAGAGCCACACACACGCACGCACGCACGCACGCACGCACGCACGCACATGTATACATGCATACACACTCACGCACACCCATGCACGCTCGCGCATACACACGCGCCCGCATACACACGCACAAACACACATGCACAAACACATACACGCATACATACGCACGCACGCGCACACACGTACGGGTGCATGCCCGAACACGCACACACACGCGCGCGCACACATCCGCACACTCGCACGCACGCATGGACGGACCCACACACACGTACTGCACACACACACACACGCACACGTACGTGCACACACACACACACACACCACACACACACACACACCGTACACACGACACACACACGCACACACACACACACCACACACACACACACACACTACGGCACACACGACACACACAACCACACACACCACACACACACACGTCACACACAACACAATACACACACACACGCACACATACACACACACGCCACACACGTACACACAACACACACACACACACCACACTCACACACACACACGATACACACACACCTACACACACACACACACACACAGCACGACGCACACACACACACCACACACAAACATGCAAAGCACGCACACACCAGCATGCACGCACGCACGAATGCTCTTGTGTTTGTCTAATTCGACGAAGCGCTCTCTCTTGTTCTTCGCAGAATTCCATGAACGCTCTGATTGCGGAACCTGCAGTCGAAAGAACCCGAACTACATCCGCTGCATCAAGCCGAACAACGGCAAGAACGCCAAGATGTTCGATGATGACCTCGTGCGACACCAGGTCCGCTATTCTAGGGTGAGTCACCAAGGTCAACAAGGTCATCGTCTCTACGGTCACGGTCGCCCACTTCAAGGTCACCTCTCCTCTTCTAAGTTTACGTGTCTCTCTCTCGGAGTTCACCGCGTCCCTCTCTAAGGTTACTGTTTACCGTCCAAGGTCATGGTCTGCTGTTTCTAAGGTCACGATCGTGGCCCCCTGCCTGCCTCCCTTCCCTTCCTCCCTTCTCTCTCCCCCTTCCCTCTTCCTCCTTCCCTCCCGTCTCTCCTCCTCCTCCTCCTCTCTCCCTCCCTCCTTCCTCCTCCCTCCCCTCCTTCTCTCCCTCCTTCCTTCCTCTCTCCTTCCTCCTCCCTCCCTCCTCCTCCTCTCCTTCCTTCCTCCTCTCCCTCCTTCCGTCTCTCCTCCTCCCTCCCTCCTTCTCTCCCTTCCTTCCTCCTCCTTCCTCCCTCCCTTCCTCCTCCCTCCTTCACCTCCCACTCCTCC